CCCCTCCCCCCCAACTACCCTCCCCTTCCAGGAGAAACGATGCGCATTGCCTCGTCTGAGTTTGCCGATGACCCCTGCTCCTCCGTTAAACGTGGCACAATGGTGAGGGCAGCCCGCGCCCTGCTGTCCGCCGTCACCCGCCTGCTCATCCTCGCTGACATGGCTGATGTCATGAGGCTCCTCGCCCATCTTAAAATCGTAAGTGCTGTTTGGCCGACCGCGCAATGTCGATCGGTCAGCTGTCAAAGGGTTTGTACTTGTACTTGTTGTCATTCTGTAAGTCTGTCAGGACACCTCTTAAATCTTTAAAAAAATAAAAATAAAAAAAAATGGATGACAGCGCGAGGTACTTTTTTAGCCTGACGTGCCGAATGCCGAAAGTAACGAGCACCTTTCCTCAATAGCCCTTTTACACAGTGCTGGTTCTTATCAAAACATTTGGACATATTACCATATGAATGAGACATGGAGAGGAATCTTGAACACCTGTTCTCACAAATGTCCCAGTGGGATGAGCTGCACTTACTCCCGTCATTTTAAGAGTGGCGCTTTCTTTAGTACTTATTTTTCATAGCACTGGCGTTTTGTGACACAAGTTTTTTCAAAACGGTGAAGAGCATGAGAAGCTTTTTGGTATAATCTAAGACAAACTCATGCCAGCCTATATCCCCAGTCTCTGTTTGTCCACACGCACAAGTGAGCATGCAATCAATCGTTGCACGCAAAGTCCTATAAGAGGGGCTTAACTCAAGCCAGCGAAAGCCATTAAAAAGCTGTCCGTCCCTTTTCTTTCTTTAAAAAAGATTAGAATTATAATGAAAAAAAAATGCTCATTTAGGAGTTGTCATGACTTTGCATTAGTAATTGCGCTCACTTACTATTTTACCTCAACACAGGGGACTAAGATCCTGTGAGGAATATGAAATTCAAGATTAATTTGGTTGTGTTTTTGTCACGTTTTCGCTCATCACAGGTGGAGGAGGCCCTAGAGGGAGTGAAGAATGCAACCAATGAGCAGGACCTGGCCAACCGCTTCAAAGAGTTTGGGAAGGAGATGGTGAAGCTTAACTATGTGGCAGCCCGGAGACAGCAGGTAGCTGGACGCCCCCGGCCTGCTGTTCGGCAAAAAACAAAAACAAAAACAAAGCAAAACAAAAAAACTTTTTACCTTCAGAGAAAAATACCAGTGATACAGATTACTTTTCATGTGCCAGAGGAATGATATGTCTGAGGATTTCTCTTACGGTCTCCAATGTAACAAATAGATATTCAGAGATTTCCCTAAAAATGTCATGCTGGTGAGAGACTACTCCGAATGGTCGTCCCAGAGCTAAGCACTGAGCCGAGCGCTGTTCAGCTTCACAGCTGCTGATGTGCTGACTCTGCTTTTACTTTGTTTGGCTGGAACAGCACAAATTCATCAAATGGGACATAAACTCAGTTTCTTTTCTTTAAAAGAGATTTCTGAAATGGGGACCTGTTTGTTTTTCACAAATGTGAGTTACCGAGGCTTTTGGAGACTACATCCCAGTGTGACTGAAAAAAATACATCAGCCCTTTGCGTATATTGAGTCTGTGTAATATGTCCTGTATCGATTTATACATTTAACCACTAATGTAAATTCTTACTGTAAATTATTGATGTGTCTAACCTGAGGTCTTTTTGTCGCATTCTCAGGAGCTCAAAGACCCCCAGTGTCGAGATGAGATGGCAGCGGCTCGTGGGGCCCTTAAGAAAAATGCTACCATGCTCTATACAGCCTCACAGGCGTTCCTGCGCCACCCAGATGTCGCTGCCACGCGTGCCAACCGAGACTATGTCTTCAAGCAGGTCCAGGAAGCCATAGGGGGCATTTCCAGTGCCGCCCAGGCCACCTCTCCGACCGACGAGAAGCACAGCCACACTGGCATCGGGGAGCTGGCTGCTGCCCTCAACGAATTTGACGTAAGTTAACAAAACATTCTCTGCTGCGTTCCAATGCTGCACCTGACACACGCGTGGGCTCAGTCTCTGTTGTATTTCAAAGGATGTGAAAAACATCTGTTAAAGGTATTTCTCCAATGAGGAGTTTTTTTCTGCTGGATCCTGCGTGTTTAATGAAACTTTTTTAAACTTTTTTTTTTAACCAGATTTTGTGCTTCTGAGATGTTTCGGCTCACATTTAAACAGCTCCTTCTGCTGCAGATAGATTTATTAAAATGGATAGTGCTGTGTCATCGTTTTTTTTTCTCCCTTTCTAGGAAAATTGTTATTTTTTTAATGTGTGCATTTGTGGGCAATTTTCCCGATGTTAAACAGGGAAAAAGTGATGTAGCCACTGATATTACCCACCAATCACCTGCAGTGGCTGTGACTGCATGTTTGTTAGGCAGACACTGGTGACACTGGCCGTAAAAGGCTGGCATGTCAACCACTTTTTTTCATGAAAAAATGTCCCATCTACTTTCAGACAATCAGAACTGAAGCAGCCTTTAGATGAGACGTGGAACTTATCCAAAAACAGATTTTCAGACGTCAGTTCCCTTCCCTTAAAGTTTGCAGGATTCGGGCTCAGTGATCTGTACAGAGGAGCCCTTATTTCAGGACTGCTGTGTCTGCATAAGTAAGACTACAGCTGAATACCCATTATCTGTAGCACACACAGGTACTTTGTAAGTTATGAAAGATTTTTTCCTCCACATTTACTCAAAGTTGCACTCACTCTGTTTTCATTTGGAGTTTCAGAGATGATTCTCTGCTGCCATCTAGTGGCCCCACACTGACATTGAGGTGTTGCCATGCTGATTGTTTTGGGCTTTGTAGCAGTTGTGTTGTATTGTGTGTTCAGGATCAGCTCTAGTGGCCTTTGTTGATGTCATGATAAGATGTTAAGCTGTGTATTTGATTATTTTCTATCTTATGAAAAGGCCCAGTTAATTTCTGCATGCTTGTTTTAAAAGCATGCAGAAATGAACTGGGCCTAACTGAGCAAACGTGTGAATATTAAGTGTGATAGATCTGATGAGTAAAGCTCAAGTTTATTTCTAATTCATTTGATCGCATGTAGACAACAAACTTTATCTTATTGAACTACATCTATTCATGGAAGAGTCATTAACTAAGATATGGCCAAATGACAACGCAAGCTGTCAACTTTCTCTTTGATAATTAAATGTGGTTCATAGTTAGTTGGAAGTGATCAAAGATTGAAAAAGATGATAAGCCGTGATTTTTTTTTTTCCTGGTCCATGTTTGCCAATAGAACTCTACTTACATATTAAAGTTTAGACATTCACCACAACCATATGATATTTACTTTAGCCTGGCTATGGCACATAAAAACATAGCCATTTGCTTTAGAAACTCATTAGATTTTTCATTGGCTTATCTTTTCGTATTTTCAACATTCTCATTGGTGATTCTGTCTCCTCTGCTGCAAACAGGAGCGCATCCCAGGTGAAAATTGTGACCTTTTCAATTTCAACAGAATGCTAAAAGCCATTGCTTTTCTAAGGAAAGGTCCGTAAAGCCCACATCCAGGTCTTCAACATCAGTGTTTGATGGAACAGGTGTTTTCGTTTTTTGGCATTTTATCTTTTGCTTTGTCACTTTCTGAGAGTTTGCCGTACTTACAGCTGGTCCTGTAGGACTTGCTCATAATGTATACGAAATGAGTGATTTATGAACGACCCACATCACGCTCACATGCCTTGTATTAATGGTGTTTGCAAGTGAATGTGCTGTGACTGGCTTTTGACGTGTGTTAGAGTGGTACCTTCAGTGTAATGCCTGAATGGGAGATTTATGAGCACTGTTTTCTGGTTTTAGCATTTCTTGAGTGACATCTGGTGGTGATGTTTAGAAGCACAATTCCCCTACAGTGCTGTGGGGAATAATATCTTGGAGCAGGGTGACATTCACACTGAGATGAATTAGGAGAACAAGTAGAGCCACATTTCTGAGAAAATGTCTGAAGAGAAACATTTATTTATTCCACCCTAGCCCCCCTCCCCTCTTATTTTGCATTAGGTCATGGAAGAAAGTATCAAATTGTTGTTGATGCAAAACAGAGAGGCTTTTTCAAATTATAAAAGATATGTGTAATTCCATCTGTCTGGCCAGCAAAAGCAGCATATAAATTAAACAAATTGGTGTCTGCTTAGCCTCCTGCACTCGCCCGAAGCTGATGCATGTTTAATTCTTAACTTACCACAGAGACACAGACTATGGTCTTCCCAGAATACCAATAGACTGATCAGCAAAGCTTTTTTAAAATTTGCCTTTCTTTTTTGGACGTGTTCGTGCATGACTCTGCATCAGATTTTTTTCTTGCCCAATTCGGTAATAAGCACACACACAGAAAACGTGCATTGTGTGCTGTGCTGTCATAATTACAGCTCAGGACTTCTGTGTCTGTGCTGACCACTGAGCCGCCATGCTGTCTTTTTATTTTTCGTCTTTTCTTTTTCACAGTTACAGCTTAGTCGGTTGGTTTTACAACGGTCCTCTGTGTGTTTCCTTTCAGAATTGCTGGCGTTGTGAACGAGCTGTAGCAGGAATGTGCTGATGTTTGACGAACTGCACAAGCTGCTTGCTCTGATCATCTGCTGATAACTTTGGTCAGAATATTAGTATTGACTAATTCATTTTCTTCCTCGTTATCACGGCTTCTTAAAAGCTCTTAAACCAGAGCATTAAAGAACATTTTGTCACTGAGAAATGCAGATATGTGATTAGAGGCTGAAATGATTTATATCAAACTCACACTTGAGAGTGGTGGGGGGGGGGGCTTTATCACACTACGAATGAGAATAGCTGGTTCGAAACTGAATAAAAGAACAGAGCAGCTCTCATCTCCTCTTTCTTTATGCCAAAAATGTGCAGCCATTTGTGAAAATGGGGAGAATATAAATTAGTGTTATGCAAATGTTTTTCGTATTTTCATTTCAAAAGAGAAAGATAGCATTTAGAGAACTCTATGGGTTTGCAATGTTTTTTTATTTCATTACAGTTTGTAGAGATGTACTGATTCAATCTAAAGTACTGGATCAGAGTTCAGAGGATGGCGTTTTATGAGTGATCCATATCTGGGCACTGAGTATACCTCAGTCTCTGTTGTTTTACTGCAGCTGAAGCACTCAATGCATAAAAAATATTGCCATGACGATAGTTAAGCTAGTTGTAATGCTGTAGATGCACACACAGGTGATTCGATACACACATGAATAAAACATATATCACTGAATCACAATACCATGTTGCACTCAAGCTTAGCCATTAAACGGATGAGCTGAGCTCACTGGTACTGGAGATGAAAAATGCTGTGGCCATAGTGATCATTATTACTATTACTAATTATGTAAAGGATAAAAATATTTCCAGGTTATGTTAAGTTAGCATTTAGCATTTTATATGTCCTTTTTGTAATAAGAATGATATAAAATCCCTTTCTTTTGTACAATGACATTATTTGGAAATTGATTGAAAATTCTCGCTGGAGTTTTTAGAGCTTTATGTTTATTGTGTAGATAAAAATAGAACTGAGATAAAACTATTTTCCTTACTGCATTGCAGATCCATTGAGCTGTCAAATGTATACAAGGCATTGATTTCTATGACTTAATCTCCTTACAGTGTGTAGTTTCCAACTGTGTGTGGTTGCAAGGGCAAGTATTGGATTAAGATTGACAGATACTCTGTCTTAGATGAATCAGCGATGCCTTGGAAAGAGGTTCTTGATCGGAACATGTGTGACATTGTGGTCTGCAGACAAAATAAACATGGCAAAAATGGGTGGCTCATTCCTTCCCCATTCCTGACACTAAGGGGAGAAAAGATTTTTAAAATGCTGTGCACAGAGCCAGGTCTCCAGGATGGAGTATGAATAGGACAAAAAAGGGGAATGACCTCATAGAAGCGCTTGTCTTTTTTTTTTTTTTTTTTCCAATTTTCATCTGACATCCAGAATTACAGCCGAACTCTGAGGTAATAGATCTATTAAAAGAGAAAAGGAAGGTCAGGACCAGCTTGGTTTACTTCATTTCAAGATTATTTGACGTACAACAGAAAGACTGCCTTTTGCCCTGTCCACCTTCTACCTTTAAAAGCTCAACATCAAATCTATCAAAGCAGACCAGGCCTGAATGCTTTGAACATAAATGAAAACCTTTAAGGAAATAATGCATTCGTTAATTTAATGCAGTTTTTTAAGCTCTTGTTTTAACCACATATTGACCTAATTTCCCTGTTAATGTTGATGAAGAATGTGGATTTGTAGCAAGTCTGAATGTTGGCCACTGTTTGTCCAGATTTTTCCCATATTCAGCTGCTTCCTCGTATGTTAGAATTGGACTTTGGTGACTTTACACTCCCTAAAATAGATGTTATTGTTGCCAACGTCACCAAATTTTCAGTAGAAGCACAAGAGCAGTTAAGGATGACCATTTTGAAATTTGCTATCCAGGAGGGCCCCTGTCATGGAGGACTGAAAGTCTTTATTTGAATATATGAACCCATTGGGAGGACAGATGGAGGAAAGGCCCTACGGGAATGTTGGAGAAGGCATACTGTGACACAAACTTAGATTCCTCTAGGTCAAGGTTTTTTTATAGATAGAAGTTTCTGTTGGTCTCTTGATATGCATTCATATGCAGGCCTGACACCGACAGGCCATAGCTCTCCCCTGCTCTCTGCACTGCATATTTCAATATGCAAAAAATTCCATCTATCCATTCGTATCACCGTGAGCGTCTTTATTGCTGCACAGTGAAATGAGAGCAGCGCTCCATGCAGCCTTTTAAAAGTGGAACTGCTAATCTTTCCCACTCCCTCACACTTATTTTATGCGTGGCTCCAAGGCGTCAACAATGAGCAGCCGTAGAGTAGGTACCTCCAACTGAACCCTTGTTAGCGTGAAAAAGCTCAAGATACAATGTGACACGGAGACTGTAACTGAGCTAGGAAGAGCCTGTCAGCGCAAGTATGAGTTACAGCAGCCTCTGCCTCCTTCGATTAGATGAGCCAGGAGTGGTGGCGAATAGATGGGGGCCGTGTTTCTTAACATAATTGTGATCGCATCAGGATGATTGCCTCGTCCTCAGCTTTCATTCTTCTTTCTTAACCAGCAAATTTAATCCTCCCCCCCACTCTGACAGGGGCTAAGCAATTATGTCTTTGAATTTGGAAGGTTTTCCTTTTTTATTGTGTCTGGTTTGGCCGAGCGCAGTGTCCCTTGTGTGTCACATCTGTTTTGCGTGGCTCAGTAGAAACAGGTGGTCAAAGGTGGAGCTGTTCATACACATTAGCTTCAGCCTCAAACGGCACAGCGTGTTCACGCAAAGACCAGCAGATGGCAGTGTTTACTTATGCTGTGTGCTTGTCCATCCCCCGCCCCTCCTCTTATTCCTCACCCTCTCTCTATCTTTTCCATTTTTATCCTCTTTTCCAGCAAGTCCTTAGAAACAGAGATTTTCAGACGTGCTCAGAGCAGAAGCTTGCGTCACCTTGTATGTTTTTTTTTCTTCTTTCTTTGAACCGTTAATGAGATTTAAGCTGTTTTCTGGTTTTTGCTCTGTGTAGACCACTGCTGAAGTGATCTTTGTCAAAGATGACTTATTATTACATTATCAGATACAACTTCTCCAATGTGACCCCTAAGTCCACCTATGTTGAACAGTGTTGCATCCTTTCCTGAGCTGTTCCTGTTCACTGGGGGCACAGTCTATATTCTCTTGTGTTGGGAAAAACTCATACAACCCCTGCTACAAAAACTCTTTGAAAGGCACTTAACGTCCGCCTATTTATTGTTTACACTCACATGGGCAAACATAAAAGCACGTTTCATTCACACAACTCTGCCAGAGCCTAGCGCTGAGCCTACGGCAGGGATCCAAGACACTCTGGATCACTTTGCCATGATTTATATTTCCATCTGCTTGTCCTCAACACTACCTCTCCCTTTTTTTCTGTGAGTTATTCCCTCCTTATTCCCTTACCGTTCCTCTAATTCTGTCGATTTCTCTTTTTGTCCTCTGTTGTCTACCGTGTTTTCAGCGGAGCCCATTTGATTGCAGCATGGCATTTTTATGCAAAAATCCCTCCACATATTGCAGGACCTGTGGTTTCACTGCACAGGCATATGCTGGTCCTCGCTCTGCATACATTATGGGCTAACTCTAACCGGATTTACTTGATAGCTTGGGGAAAAGCGTGCTTGACAGCCAGTCCTTTGAATCTCACTGTAGCGAGAATTGCCTCCAAAAGTCCCCTCCCAATGCTGCATGCGTCAATCTGTGTTAGGACAGGTAATTGGGCACGTTAATGTTTATTGGACAATGCACTGAGACAGCCCGTACAGCTAATTGGGGATTCCAATAAACAGTCAAGTCTTTTAGTCTAATGCAGCTATATGGTGATGGAATACACGTCTTTTTGTGTTCTCTTTATTCCCTCGCCGTTCTGATGGATCCATCTCTCTGGCATTATGAGCAACGTGTACAATCGTGACTGCACTGTGATGACCTTTCAGCACTCTGCGTTTGTGTATGAGCTACTGCTGGGCAGGCATCAGAGATGGTGGCTGGGGACCAACCTGGCTCTAATGTATGTAGATGTATTCCTAACTGAAGGATAGCTTTCTTGGTAATTG